GCCATCAGTCAGCAGTCATGACCTCATGCAGCCCTCCATCACCAGCTGGGTGTCCTCATCACCTCACACAAAGTCAGCTGACTGGGGAAGCTGGGTGACTGACCCAAGTCACCCAGCAAACTATTGCTGCAGGAGCTCAGTTGGCTTTCTTAAACAAAATGCCTTTAGTGAGCCAGCAAAACACCTCTCCAAGCCACCCTGCTCTTCGGAGCCAGCAGGCACAGGCAGAAAGCAGCAGTCTGCTGAGAAACCACAGCCCCTGGCTTCCCCTGACAAGCAAAGACCCTGCACAGACGGTAGCACAGCTCCCCCTCCTGCCAGCAGCCCACAGAGCCCTCCTGGGGAGACGGGGACTGTCTCGCTTAGGAGGGAACGCTCCTCCCAGCAAAGCCCTCTGTAGGTGTGGGCGTGCAGCCCTGAAAAGAGAGAAACTGTCCTTGGACAAACTGCCCATGTAATGTAATCCGTGTTACTTTTCATAGTGGAGTAAGAGGTGAGAGCTTATGTGACACAGACAATGCACAAGGGATGAGCCAAGAGTTCTCAGACCCTCCTGATGGGCTCATGTACTTACTCTGCAGAACCTCAGCTCAATGCAGCTCTCTGCCTGGCCACCTTTTGGGCAGATCACCCCTTCTGGCTAAATCCTTTCTGCCAGCTGTAAACATCTCAGGATTGTTCTGCTTCAGTTCTTTGTGCACCCCAAAGTCAGTGGGTCAGGAATCCTCTTCTACAGCAGAAGGATCTCACAAAAACCCTATAAAGCCTCTAGTCAGTGAGAACTACTGCAGCTAATCAGTCAGTGTCACAGCACCATGGCGTGCCACCGTGGTGCACCACCTCTCTAGCATACTGCTCCCTACCCTTAGTCTAAGGTCTCTTTTGCAGTTCTCATGCTTCCCTAGTGGGCTCAGCCTGGGAGCTTCCTCCTTGGAAACAGAACCTTTGGGAAGTCTGCACTGTGACACTGACAAGCAAAAGACAAAATTTTCACTGCCTACACTCCTTGACCTGCAGGGTCCACGTGAGCAGCAGTTACACACGGGCCCAACATGTCAGGTGAGCACCACTCCAAAGGCTGCACAGGTCAAGCTGCTACAGTGGCAGACTTCAAGGTGATAAAACTGAATAAAGAAATGCTACCTCCTGAAAAATAAGCAATTACTCTTCACTGGCTTGCCAATACACCTGTGGTCAATCCGTCTTCACAAACTGGCTGCTACTTAGCTCACAAAATCCACCTGTCTTTCAGTAATCCTGAGGTTAAAACCATGCTCCTCTGCCTGATTGTATATTTTCTCAGTGTAATTAAATGTGACATGCAGCTGCAGCCAGTATTTGTGCAATCACAGCTCACATATGATGATCACCTGTCATGGTTTGAGCCAGGATGAAGCCACTTTTACTGATTTTTTTTCCCCTTCAGTAAGTTTTATTTTAACTAGTAGCAAAGTGTCCCAGCTTGGGCTGGTAACAGCTGGAATGTTTTTCTAACTGCTGGGTCTTCAAGGTCACATCTCTGCTCTGCTGTCTCAGACACTACTGGGAGATCTATAAATCCCCCCCATAGGAGGCTGCGTTGGACAGCAAAATTGGCCAGAGACATTCCATTCCATTTATCTACCTAAGCTCAGAGATCACAGAAGACAACTTCCTTCCTGAGTCATATGGTGACATCACCAAAAAACAACTACGAATTCTAGTCCAGTCTAGCTAGGCTGGCAATTTGTAAACTACTACACATTCATTAAAGCCAGGAATTTACTAGATAGCTAACAAAAATCTAATTTATCCTTCTTTTAAGGGAAAAAGCTGTGTTATCCATATACTGATGCCATCTCGATAAAATGAAGAAATAATCTGATTGCCACTAGATGGCACATCTCAATTACTAATCTATGTTTTACCTCAGGATTGCCTTTTTTTAAAAAAAAAAAAAATAGTATGTATATATATTCCTTTCTTTGCTAGCTTAACACACTATAATCATGCTTGCTTTCTATTTTTAAATCAGATTAAAAAAAAAAAATAACACATAGGGAGGAAAAAAAAATAACTAAAAATAAACCATCTGCCAGTGAAAACTCGCTTGATTTTGTCACATCAACAACGAAACCAACTTAATATCCAGAATCACAGATGGTTTCTTTATATAAATATGTACATCTCCCCATAGTGACTCTTTCAGCTGCCTCCAAAAACTGCTGGCACACTGGTACCTCGTCTCCTAGGCAATAGCTGTGCCTTACACTCAGCCCAGGCATTAAGCAGCTGGATTTGATTTCAGAAGATGCCATCCCCTGGCTGTGGCTGTTTCCAGCACCAACAGGGGATGCCGCAGTGGACAGCCATGTCTCTACCAAGAGCAGCAACAGATGGATGTAAACATGTTCTCGTGCAGCTCAGATTATCAAATCTGATGGAACTTTCTTCTAAGTCACCCAGATCCCCGCATAAAGCTACTACTAAGCATCATGGTGACCTCCACACCATAGCATATGTCACACTCAGAGCAATAAATATGGAATTTGATCCTTCTGCAGCATTCAACAGTATGAACTGACAGAAAGCACTAAAATACAAACAACAAACCATTGTGGGGTGCCATGCTTGTTTCTCCCTCAGTAGTTATGCATTGGGGCATCCTCAATCAGAAGTGGTTATTTCTTAATTCTTGTATGTCCAAACTCACTTGAGATGAAGACTTGAGCTACGTTCTGTTCTTGTTCTATTACCAGCAGTGAAATGTGTTTCAGACAAAACTGCAAACCTATTGCTACAGCTCTGAAATCAGGTACCTGCCATCTTCCAATAAGTTCCACAAGGATCAAACCTGTTAAATAACAACACAGAGAACAGAATTCAACTCACTACCTCCTGGTTCTACTTCACTCATCTGAAAACCTATGGAAGTTAAATTTATTATAATATGCCTCTCTGTGGCACAGTTTAAAGCTTCTTGGGAGCTCAGGGGCAGCAGCATTTAACATAAAGCAGATTGGCCCATGCAGAACTCTGAATTACTTGGACCAAACTTCTGTTGACAACCGTATGACACAAGCCCCCTTCATACAACAGTGAAGGCTGGAAGATTGTAAGTAAAACCAGTTTAAAATTTCTATGTGTATAATAAAAAACATTTTAATAAATACCCTAATAAATAAAGGTAATGCAGAGGCCAGTAGGAATCACATAGTTTAAGCTCCATTCACAGCTACAACACTGGTAAGAGTGATAAAAGTCAATTCACTCCCTACATTTGGGCTCCAATTTATGAATACCTGTAAAACAGGAGTCCTGATAGTTGTCTGAAACCACTCTGAAATCTGTGAATGATCTCTTTAAATACTGGATACTGTTATAAATTAATTGAAACCAACATACTTCCTATGGCCTACTTTACAATCAGATGTCAAGATCTTTCATGTCTGGATTTAAAGAGCTGATCAGAAGATGGCAGGTTCCATCCCAGTGTATCATTCAATCATGTCCTGCTGTTAGCAGTGTGTTGTTTTGGGAAAAGTTAATTCAATTTGTGAAAAAAACAGAAAACCGCAAATGTAACTGCCTTCATCAAAATAGTATTTTTAAATGGATATACAGAGTATGTAAAGCCTTAAAAATCCAGCTGCAGTGTGTGTAATCTATCCATGAAACTGAACAAACACTGATTTCAGGCTTAGCATTATCAAACTATGACAGGGTAAGGAGTGTCCACTTACTATGCACTTCCATCTGACTTCCCCATCACTGAAAAAGTGCTATCACTGCCCGGCACTCCGAGCAGGAATTCATTAATGGCAAATTGGACCTGCAGAAGTAAATTCATCAAATGTATACAATAGCAACTTCTGAGTTGAAAGCTTCATAATTTAAAACTCAACTTCTAGAAACCTCATCACACACGGAGTATTTATTTTTGGGGAAAAACAAAATTATCAGTGCAGTTTGATTTGTTTTTACACACAAAAGAAGGTACACCTGCACGTTTTTCTACTTACAAACTTGTCTCCTTACAAGTGCCTTGAAACAGTGAACAACTGACTGGGATACCTGGCAACGCTGCATTTGATGCTTACAGTGTCAAATACAGCCAGCACGTCATCCCACACCACCAATGCCAGCTGCTGGCTGACCAGTACAAGGCTGCTTTCTTTCTCAAATTTCAGTACCCAATTCTTAAAAGAGTTAATTTACTTTAAAGCAAAACACAGGCTGCTTATTCTGAAGATATTAATGAAAACAGAGGACTAGGTGTTCAGGTTTAGTCAAGAAATCAATACTGAAATGACAACCCTCATCCTACAGATCGTACAAAAATGGCAGATTCAGATCCACATTTTTAAATTTTTTATAAAGGATATTCTTGCCATGCCTTCCCATTCTAGGACATCAGGAACTACTAAATGTGTAGTTTGTTTACCTGTTGCTTTAAATCTTGTTTAGGCATTGGCTTAACTTCTCACAGAAAGGCCTATATATCTCAAGAATTACAATAAAAACACAACAAAGAATAAAGTAAGGACTGAGATCTTTCATTTCACAGTAGAATTATGTAGCTTCTCATAACTTTCTTTTATGCAGGACTGGAACAGTAAGTAAAATTCTGCACAGTGCCCTAGCTATTTTGGCACCTATATGTCATTGTCTGAAGAAAATTAAAGCACTTATCCAAACAGGATTATATCTCCCAAGTAAAACACAATGGCTTTAAAAATTTTAGTAACACATTAGTGTAAGACAAGCATAATTCCCTTCAGTGATTTTGAATTCAGTCCTAATGCAGAATAATTCAAAATTACATAGCAAGTTAGTGTCAGGATAATGCAGTAATTTAATACTTTCCTTACAAAACAAACAAATAAAAACCCAACTCCCGAATAATATTTAGATCTTCCTACATTCTTAACTAAAACTGATAACCAGTAATTGCTATGTGGAAGAATTACAATGTTCACAATAAAATTCTTTAAACTGTAAAAATCCTGCTCTGGGAAGGTTTATTCTCTGTACTGTATCTCTGCTCTTAGCTCTTTGGAGAGGTAATTCATCAGCACTGCTGTCAACTTCTGCTGGAGAGTAGCATTTCCCATTACAAGAGCAGTCAGCTGAGCAACATCAGTCCAATCTAAGTTCCTGAGAATAACAATGGCTTCATCATAGAGTTTCTGCTGCTCAGCAGGAGGCAGTTCCAGTAAAATCTGAGGGACCGGCCTGAATTGTCCTCCAGTCATCCAGGCACCAAGCAATCCACCAAATGCTCCTCCTAGAAAAAAAGAGAAATGTTACTCTTTACAAGTTAAATGTTAAAACTGAAATTCTGTCCACAGCCCTCATCAACAATGCTCCCACCTTTATTAGAAATCAATGCAGAGTTCTATATATCTACTTTAACTAGGCTTATACAGGACATTCAGAGCACCGAGGATTTTTAAAGCTTTTTACATCCTCACCAGTCACTAAGGAACTCTACACAATCAAAGTTAATACCTTCAAGCTAGAAATCAAAACCAAAATAACACTCCTTAGGGCATTGGTATCTTTAGGATAAATGCTACTACTAAATAAAAACCATGCCCAAGGAAAACATGTGACCAACAATAGCTTTATCAGTGGTCATAACACATAATCTCTTACTAGAGATTCTCAGAACAATCCAAGCTCTTTGCTTCTGTAGAGCCACACACTGCAGCCTCCTACTCCCATGAAGTCCATCCCTCAGAAGGTGCTCAGACCCACCAGCTTCCTTGGATTAGACACATTTCAGCACCGCACATCCCTTTCTTTCCACCCAGACCTACCACACAGGCTTGTTTCTTCACTCAGAGACTTACCACACTTCTTGTTCCTAAAGTAGAACACGCTTACCTACAGCGATGCCTGGTGGACCTCCCATCAGACCCCCAACAAAAGCTGTTGCACCCGCCAGCAATGCTCCTCGACCAGAGTGTTTGACAGCAGCTTTCATCCCCTTCTCCTCAGAGAGATGGCAGAACAGTTGCATCACACCATCAACATCGATGGGCATCTTGGCGAGCTAGGATCCTGGAAAAGATGTTTTAAGTTACCTTGTGATCACTGCAAGGGACTAAATCTTGCTGCTAAATGACTTTAAAGAACATACAGGAGTTCAGAAGTCTCCGAGAATAAAATACAGAGGCACACTCAAGACAGGAAACAAAAAAAAATGGCCCTTTCTTTCATTTCTGGGAAAAAAACCCACAACATTTGCTAACAACTAAAGATCACTGAAAATAAAGTGAAACCACAGTGCAGATCAGAAAAAGGACAAGCACCAGCTGAGACTTAAGAAAGCTTCTCTCAAGTTCTACAACACACTGCCTTTGCCTTAAGCAATTGGTAAATGCATTCAGCATCACCCACAGCTCCAGAAAAAGACAAAGCACAACCTCACTCTTCTGCAACTAGCAGACTGTAACTGACTCTGTCCTAATTCTTGCCACAAATAAGTTTGTTTTCACATATCAGTTATTCTCCCTGTTTTGTTACATGCTTAAACACTTCTCCACTGATTTCTGAAGGCAGGAGACTGTAGCAAGCGAGAAGAGTCTGAGGAAGGGAAAAGATTTCAGGAGTCAGAGGCAAGACCCGGGACGGGGAATAAATGGGGAGCTCTGGAGACAGGGCATCAGAAGTACAGGGTTGTATGTGCAAGGTGAACCAGGAAGCATAACAGAAGCCAACACGTGCCTCAGCAGAGTAGTGAGCAAGAAAAGAGGCAGCACAAAAAGACAGCACAGCTCCTCTGCTTTAAAAAAACCGAGATTCTACCGGAAGAAAAACATTTTACCCCTTATTTTGCACCCAATGTTTGCTTGCTGTTAAGCCAATCACTTGAGTCAAACCTTTTAGAAGTGCTTACTACGCTCCAACTTTTCCAGGCACCCATCCTGCAATCTCAAGAGATATTTGCACAAATGCTGACCCCTCAAAATAACAATGGAACTCAAATGCAACTCTGCCTGAGTACAGTGTTACACAATGCCAAGCACTGAAAAATCCATCTTTGGCTTTCAGTTTGGCAAAGGAAGTGGGTACTTCTGACTTTAGCAACTATTGTAACGATAGAACAGAGACACTAAAAATACCCAAATCTCATGTTGCAAAAATAGGTTCTGTACTAATTAAAGACATGGGTTCAGACCAATGAGATCAGAGGAAAATCCATAAAGTGACATTAAGAAACTCCACCCCCAAAGCAGAGCAGCCAGAATTGTTCAGGAAATAAGGAACTTAGCACTGAACAGCAAGAAAAAGCTTGCTCATTAAGTAGATACCTTCCATTCTGCACACCAACTGAGGAAAGGGCTTGCAGGGAAAGACAAGAACGTATTCAACATGTTTAAAAATATAATCACATATACACAGAAGGGAGAGGTTAATTGTTGTACATGTAATATTATCACTATCAAACTGGTGTTTGGTTTCCGGTCTCTAGAACACTTTTCAGCCCAGTGCACATGCAATACTTTCTCAGCCCAAGCCAACTCAGAGCAAAGTGAAAGTGGAACTGTATCACATATATTTTTGCAATAAAAATTAACATCTGTGAAACTGAAGCCTTTCTTCTCCACCAAGATGGCTGACTCCAAATCACCCATGCCTCTGCAGTATCCATACACTGCTGACACTGAACCAGTCCCTGTTTTTTTGCAAAGGGACCACACAAGCTCCATAACTGCAGAGGCACAGCAG